CTATACGTACTTCTCCCCGCCAACCAATACGATCGGCTGAGAAGGGTTGAACGCCACGCAGGTCAGGCTCGATCGTCGTCTTTGGAGAAGGTTCTGCACGCATAGGGGGTGATATTTCCGAAAGAACAAGTCGTACACGAACACCCTGCCCTCATCAGTGACAGCTACGACCAAAGTGCTGCTCGAAGGGGACCAGTCTAGTTCCATGACAGGGCCGCCAAGGTCAAGCGTCATCAGAGCCGACCTGGAGAAGATGTCATGTGCAAAATGTTCGAAAAAAAATATCATTGTTTTTTCTCTCTTATTTCTATTCTCGCGCACTGTGTTCTCCCTTATATGTTGTCTGAAGTATAGTGTACTTAAAATACTCAATCGGAATACCATTTTCAATCACACAAACTCATAACTAAGAACCAAGACAGATTCACTTACAGATGGTACTGTAGCCAAATCTTGACTGTCCAGTCTAAAGCGCAACTTGCAAAGACCTTCGTGTGAACATTGTTCCACGCGACGGCTGTGACTGGACTAAGATGAGCGCGATAGCGGGTGATAGCGTGGGCGGTGTCGGAAGTACATACCTGGAACAAGGCGCCCGTGTCGACACCAAAGAGCAGCACGTCCTTACGCTCAGGGCTTAGGGCTATGCACGTAGCAGTACCTGAGGGAACATTGTTTGTATGGAGGATAAGGATTTATGGAGGAGGAAATAATGTCCATGAAAAAATAAAATTAGAATGGCAAAGAGAAGTAGCAGACTACATAGATATGTGATTTATGTCTTTGAAGATTACATTAATACTTTAACTTAATAGGAATCCAGGCAATGTAGAATTCCATTACATTACCCTCTAAATCTATTTTATTTGAGGAAGCCACATGATCCTTTGTCTGCTGCGCCGTATTGAAATTCAATACGTCTTCGTACTTAAGGGAAGTAGTCCGAACAAACCACTGAGACACTCGACCATCTTGAGATACTGAGTAAAAGCTCATGTTTTCTCCGGGCTCTGTCGTGATCCAACGCACCTGAGGTGGCATGGATTGGATGTAACTTTATTTTGTATTTAACATAATTTAAGAAATAATAATACGATCTGGTAATGGGAAATTTTGAAATGTGAGGGCTTTAGATCCGCTGCAATCTACCGGCTTTTTAGGAATTAGTTTAACTGATATGGCAGTGTTCCCATTTTTCATTTGAACATTCGCATTCTCAATGATCATGTATACTCTAAAATTGATATTAAACTACTTGGCAAATTTTAATCTTATCTTCTGCTTTAAATTACATAATCTAATCTAACATCGCTGGACTAGAGTACACATCATTAGCTAGTATTAGCGTTGATATGAAGAATGTATTAGAATTTATGAATACATCGGTGCAGCCAACCTGCATGACAGGCAGAAGGTGCTTGCCGGACGTGGTGGAGGAGGAGAGCTGCCCGGGAGACGCGTTTCTCGCATCGTACACCGTCACCGTCCCGTCGCTGTGACCCGCCACCAACATGCTCTCATGCTGACGGAGACACAGTTAGCCTATCTAGATCCGTTTCTTATACAACCACGTAATGCGTCGAAAATATCTGTACTTATACCAATATTCAATATAGTGAATAATAAATATATTTCCTATGACACAACCTAAAGAAAGAAAAAAATGGGGGAAATATACAAGGCCTGGGAGAGGGAGTTGTGGAAGTACGTACAGAAGGGTGGAACTGTACTGACATGACGCCTCGGGGGGTCACCAGCATCCTCTCTGGAATGCCAGGGTTCTTAAGGGTGAACAAACAGATTCTGCCCTCGCCCTCCGACTCGCTTACTATGTGTGAAGAGAACAGAGAGAGCGCCTTGTCAGTGGAACTTCCGCTCCTCAATTTTAAATATGCATATGCTTGATCTGATTTGATTTTATTATGTTTTTTCTCTTCATTATGTATATTATATCACATATTATATATTTACCGTTAATATTAATATGCATTCATCTTCCTTATGTTTTTTTTTTCATGCAATTCATTACCTTTGACATTTTCATATTGCTAAAGTTCCTATTTGTTAACCTGATTTTTTCGTTCTCTTTTACACTGTATACCTTATATAAGTGTTATTTTACTCTTTGTACTCTTTGTATGTTTCTATTTTCCCTTGTTATCTTTCATTCTCTGCTACCTCTTTCTTAGGTGCTTCACCTGGCGTGTAAGAGGCGGCGAAAAGATCTTGGCGAGCGGGGTTCCAAGAGAGCGCAGACACCACGAGAGAGCGGGACTTGTCGCAGGAGAACCTCCACAGCGGCAGAAGAGATCCTTCTAGCTGACGATACTCATCGCTCGCGTCTTCCCAATATCTAAAATCTGGTTGAGACAGAAAGTCAGAAGTCAGGTACAGATGGGATTTTTAAAAAAAGAAAGAAGAAAAAACGATGCAAAAAGTAGCAATAAGGAACTGAAAGAGTCCAAGTGAGATTTTCATGGAAATAACGAAGACTAAGAAC